AAGAAAGAAAGAAAGAAGAAGAGAGAGAGAAAAGAGAGAGAGAAAGAAAAACAAATATAGCATGCGCATGAAACAAATTTCTTATCCTATAATCATACCAGATTTTGTTCTGAGATCAGACCGTCCCTAGAGTCCTTAAACACATCGCTGGCAGCTCTTGGTACCATGTCGAAAGGACAAGGAATGTGGAGGGACAGGTACACCAACCCCTTTTTTATTATTTTCCCTTTTTTTATTTACATCTTTTAAACATCTTTTTATTTATCTTTATCTTTTAGTATTGTATATATATATATATAATTTTGTTCTTGTTCCGAATAAATCTTTGGAAACGTATCTTTTTAGCTTTACAACACGATGAAACTATCCGATATAACATCGAATATCTGGTTCGTTCAACCGAATTATAGATAGAGAGACAAATTTATTCCGATACATTCTTATATCATACACGATATCACGACACGCTGATATTTTAATTAATTTATTATATAACATTCACTAATGGATTCATAAATTCGACGAGAAAAACTTACGTAATAGAATAATATAATTAAGAAGATCGTGGATTATGTAGATTATGCAGATTGGAAAATAATAATTGGATAAAAGGTGCTCTTGTAAATTAAAGGAAAGAATCGTTCGTCCTTTGGTTTAATGATATCTAGTTTAATCAACTTGGACACACATTTTCATCATAATAATAATAATAATGGCTGCTGCTCGTCATTGTACCATCTTCTTCCTCTATGGACAAGTTTGAGCTATTTTTTTGCACATGTAACGAAATCTGTTAATTATATACCTGAACAAGTGACGATAATAAAATTACTTGCAAATAAAAAAAATCCTCGATTAATCGCAAGATTATATAATTGCAGATTTCGGGACGATCTTTTTTTACGTTGCCACCCTAACGTATATATCTTTTTTTCGCAGAGTGTGAATGATGTGACCTCGTTCCGTCTCCACTATAATACATAATTATTACTGTTTATACATCTCCCCATTTTTGTACTTTTTTTGTATAATAGAAAAGTGGCTTGCGTGTGATGATTGCGGGTTTTCGACAATCGGAATGAGAAACGATATATCATCATCGTAACGCTTTCAAATCGAGATCGATGAAGGAAAGAGAAAAAGAAAAAAAAAAAAAAGAAAAACGAAAAAACGTGACAACAAAAATGTTCGAAAATCTGTAAAAGTTGCGCTAGTGTCAGAATCTCGACTCCATCTATATCGTCATCTCTCACCACCATTTATATGGAACGAATGGATACTAACGCGTTTTTTATTTTGTTCCCGATCCTCTCTGTTATTTTATTTGCGCTACTCGCAGAATTCCACAGTGGAGAAAGTAAGTGATCTTCTCTTGAATCTTAGCTTCTGCTATTTGCCATACCGCTCTTCGATATCATTTGTTTTTTTTTTTTCTTTTTTTTTTTTTTTTGATAGATTTTTCCCTTTATGATCGCACAATGCCCTGTAGTCGCTCTTAAACTTTTTTTATCATTAGACAAAGAAAATTGTGGTGCACGATGAATATTACGTTAGACGAAAAAAAAAAAAAAAGGAAGAAAAAAAAAATTGAAAAACGCCTCGGAAAAGTAAAATGAAATGATGAAAATTAATTACTTGAAAAATTCGTATATTTGAAAAATTCGTATTTATTTCTTTTTTTTTTATTTCGATTTCGATATACGTCGTTTGATAAGTTTATTAAATATCGTAATTCGCACAGCTTATAAATTATTCCAAATACGCGTTATATGTAAATCGTAAATCCATTACATCATCTCGCTTGAGCAAACAACCTTCCTTCAAGGAATTTATATACGATATCGATATTTTTAGACTATTTGTGAAATGTACGGGAGAAAAAGAGCGTGGTTTCAAACGAACGCGAAGGCGTTTTTCATTACGCGTAATATACGAACAATAATTTATTCGTATTTTATTTAAGCGAATATAAATACGAAACGTACAACGTTGCTTGTAATTGTGATATTATGACAAATCAACGTTTATATATTCACCATGCACGATATTGTATGCAGCATCTTTGTGAATAATTCTCAATACTTCATCGTGAAACTATGTCTCTCCACCAGCACCAATCATCGATCACCAATCAGCAAGGAGCAACGAATGAATCTTTGAATTTGAAGAATTCGACCTGTTCTTGTTGATGATTCTTCTTCTTTTTTTTTCTTTTTAAATAGTGCGCTCTTTAATAAATCGTTCAATGTGTTAATTAGCGTTACGCTTGCAGGCACGGAATATTCATGCAGCAAATCCCCCGACACACGCTCACAACCCGTACTATTCGGTTATAGTTATTATCTATTTAAAATTTAATTTGCTCCATTTTTCATGCAATTTATCTTTGCACTTTATTGTCTTGTGATTAATTTATTTTAATTTTTTTTTTTTTACAGTTATACCCCCTCATACGCAGCGATAAGTCATATTTCGTTCTTTTCCTTACGAAAAAAAAAAAAAAAAGGGAAACATTTAACACCATCGTGAACATATATAAAGTTCGCCCTCAGAATAATCCGATGATCTCGAAGAATAATTTCTCTGTACTCTTTAACTTTAACGCTTCTAGTAAAAATTATTTATTATCGTGAACGTTGCTTCTCGGCTTGGCGTGCTTTTATGATACTTATATATGATAACTCAGAACAACTGTTTTTAATTGGCCTTTCAAAATATCTTTACTACTTTACTAAATCAAAAGAAACGAGAATCACGAGAATACAATATCTGCTTACAAATTAAAAATTGTAAATGTCACTCTCGAATATTAATATTATCTCTACACTCTCGTGTTTCTTTTTTTTTTTTTTTCGTTAATGTACATATAAAATTCAACAAATATTTAACGACGGAAAAAACCGTTTTAATTCTCTGAAAAATGTAATCCGAATTTTAGTGTAAATAATATAAACGCATATATTTGTTCATTTAGTGAAAATATTTTTTCCTTTTTTTAATTGGTACATATTACACACGTAACCGGTTTGACTCAAACCAATAGCGATGAACGAAGCATGATTCGTATTATTTCTCGGCAGCCACAATATGCGTATGTAATGTATAATTAGTTTTTTTTTTTTTTTCCAATAATTGATTTTACGATTACCGTGTCCATAACAATTAGCCACCCATGCGCTCTTGTATTTTTTCAAGTCTCTCTGTTTACGATACACGTATCGTGAACGCTCGAGACGATACGCGATACCTTTCCGCGAAAAAGTTCCTCGAATTTTGTCTATAATCGTGTTTCTTAATTGTGCGAACGACAGCTTCCTGGTTTCGTTTCTGGTGGATGCACGAGGCGGTGCGATGCGCGGGTGCAGGCACAGCGGTGTACGCGTGATCGTTCCTCCTAGGAAAGCAGCGATGCCTATGCGCGTCACGTGCAGATACCTGAGAAGGGACAAATTGACGAACCCGCCGCCTTTGATGGAAGGGGAGGCTCTTGCGAGTCGTATACTGGAGTTGGGACCCGTGGGCGCCAAATTTTTAGGGTACGTTCGAAAATTATTTATCATAAAGTTATTTGTTCAGCGCGAATAGTAGAGATTTCTCCTTCTGCCTTGACTAGATATCTTTCATGATTTTTGCGTCCTACGTAATTATGGATAGAAAATTCACATGGAATATTTCACTTGAACCGATTGAATTTCAACAGGTTAGGAATAATAGGCAGATGTTTATTTTTGTACGTACGCGCGAAAGAATGTGAGCTAAATCGATTTTATCATGCAGATAATTCGTTGGTCAGTTTATCAAAATGAGCAATCGATCGAACGTTTAAACTTGTTGGTAGAATCGTGAAATCGTTATTTTCAACTTCGATTTTTATAATATCTCGAGATTGATCTTAAGTTTAGAAATTAGAATACTCTGATTCATCGTGAAATGTAACATTGGCATGTAACAAAGAGATTTTAGATAATCTCCGCTGACCTGAATTGGTCCGCTATTGTATTCGCTCGAACAATTCTTATTGTGCATACGTAATATTCATTTCGCTGAGAAACTTAAAATCTCGATTTAATCCAGTTATTTCTATTTTCTCGAGATTGGAATTTGTTCAATAATTGTTTAATTATTATTTCGAGCAACGTTTCTTGTTTCGATGACGAGTATAATAATTTTTTAATCCCTTTCATTCAGGCCCGTGATCATAGAAGTACCACACTTTGCTTCGTTGCGAGGAAAAGAACGAGAAATAGTTATACTCCGATCAGATAATGGAGAGACTTGGCGCGAGCACACCTTGGAAGCCAGCGAGGAGGCCGTCCAAGATGTGCTTAACGAGAGCTTTGAAGGAGAAGGTACGGTTTTAAGATAAATCGCAATAAAAGTTTCCATTTTTATAGGAAAAAAGTTCATCATTTTCTTATCATTTCTTTCCTTTTATATATATATATAAAATGCGATTATTTACTACTATTAATAAAATTGTAAAGGCGATAGAGAAAGACAATTTTAAGAAGCGGTATATAGATATATTTTCATATAAAAATTCAACATGTGTGTAAAAATGTATTTTACAGAATTAAGCCAGCTCGAGGATCTCCAAACTTCTCGGATCGTAAGGATACTCACCGCAGACTTCCCACATTACTTCGCAGTAGTGTCCCGTATCAGGCAAGAGGTTCATGCAGTTGGTCCAGAAGGTGGCACGGTTTCTTCGTCAGCCGTACCTCAAGTTCAAGCTGTATTCCCACCCGCGGCTCTTACTAAAAAGATCAGAGTTGGGCTCCAGGTGCTTATTCGTTTTTTTCCTGTTTCATAGCTATCGATAAATTACGAGGCAATTTATCGATAATAAACAAGAGTATTAATTTTCTCTGTAGGCGCATCCAATACCGGCAGATCTTGTCGCCAAGCTGCTTGGTAACAGAGTGGCGGTATCACCGATCGTAACCGTTGAGCCGAGACGAAGAAAATTCCACAAACCGATAACCTTAACCATACCCGTGCCTCAAGCAGCCAATAAAGGCATGATCAATCAATATTCAGGAGATGCGCCGACGCTCAGACTTCTGTGCAGCATAACTGGTAATATATGCTTGCACGTAATATTGTAGAGCAGCGTACCGTCTTACTGGAAAATCTCTTACCGATAAGTGCTGAAACTGTTACGCCGCAACACCTTTCGTCTATATATATATATATGTGTGTGTGTATGTATATATACATATATATATATATATATGCTCTTATCAAACTTTATACGCATTCGATGATCAATTTGTAGTTTAGTAGGCATGGCGCGAGGCGATAGGCATCTTCGTCTGTTCTCAGGTCATCGGGACTCCGCTTAATTAATATTCTCTGTACGTTCAATTAGAACAATTATTATTAACGATCGTAACGTAGGTGTGCAACGTAAAAAGTAGTAGGTTTGTGGAGTGTTCCGTTTATTTATTTATTTATTTATTTATTTATTTATTTATTTATTTATTTATTTATAGGAGGTTTCTTTATTTAGGAGAGTAATTTAAGTATAACGTTATTAACGTGTCCCGGAGACCTTCGGATAGAGATTTAAAAGGGAGATGGTAGCTGCATGTTTCATAGAAACATTTCGTTGAGTACCATTGTTGTATACATATCTTGTTGTGATTCATTGTTAATGCTTGCATATTGTTAGGATTGAGTCATTTAGGTATGGATTATTAATTAAAGTAGATAAAATTTTACTACCTAGCTCATTGTAAGCGTTAACTTCAAAAGTTTTTGTTTCAGCACATTCGTTTGACTGGTAACCGCTTCGATATTAGGCTTGTAATTTATTAACTTCTATAAAATTGTGTTTCCCAAAATATAAATGTACTTTTAGATTTATAATATGTATCGATACGACACCGTTACCGATTACAAAATTGACCGACAAATTATTCTTCTTTTTAACCGTTTTTTTTTTAACCATCCGTTTTTTTATTCACGAAAATTATATATCAATGAAAATTTTCCCACTTTAAAAATTTAATTCCGATTTTTCCACATTGCTATCTCTCTCTTTTTTTTTTTTTTTTTCTTCGACAAATATCTCGATTCGATCCAGTCGAATAATAAATTAAATTATCGAACGAAATTACGAGAACGTTTAACACGAAAAGAAAAGTAAAAAAAAAAAAAAAAAAAAACAAGGAAGATATGTTTTCGACATGCATTACGCCGCGTTTTATTAAAATTATTTCACAACCTTTTGGTATTTCTTCTTTCTTCTTTTTTTTTTATCGCTTACTTTTTAATTATTGAACACATATTCACACGATTCGCGTTTTTTGCTTTTTGCGCGGTTTTCAATGTATGATGCTTTATTTTCATTTGGCAAGCATTATCATATTCGGTCAGCGTATATTTGGTTTCACATTACCCACACATACGATACAGCACGTACATCAACGCACTTATGGTGACCGATATTAAATACAAAATTTTAATAATTCCGATGATGAGAAAAAAACGCATTAATATTCCTCCTTTCTGTTTGTGCGTTGTCATATTGGTTATTTGAATATGCAAATTATTTTTACTTCAACACTTACTTTTAAGTAAAAA